ATTATTATTATTATTATTACTATTATTTTTTTTCGGAGAGACAATTAAAGTACTGTAATTGTGTAAACAAGTGCTCAGTGAACAAAATCAAAATATCCCATAACAATTTGTTCTCCCTTTTCATCTCCATATTGTTTAATACGGTGGTGATTTTCACATCTCACTTTGCGCTCTGTCACTACCTCTCATACTTCTTCTCTTCGTTCGCCTCCCTTCCTCCTCCCCAACCCTCAGCTCTCCTATCACAACCAACAAAAAAAAAAAATTTGTATTTATTATCCAGAGGTCATTGTTTTGGTTCATCTGCCTTTTTTTTTCCCCTTCACAAAAACGCAAACATCATCATAATCATCACCACCATCAACAACAACAACAACAACAAAAAATAATAACAGCAATAATTAAAATTCATCTCAATTATCTATAAAAACGAAAAGACAATAATTATATGCTTCAATTTAAAAAAAAAAAAACCTTGAAGTTAGAAAGCGGTATGGCAGAAAAAAAAAACCGGTATTCTGCTAACTGCAAATAAGAAACCAAGTTACACATCTTTGTTGTGCGCAATTTTACTAATTAATATAGAAAATTATGATATCCCAAACATTCCTATTAGCCAAATTTTCTTTCAGCTGTTTTACCAAAACCAAGCATTTTTCTTCACTTGAATATAATTTTTAATGTCATATTTAAGCATAAACAACCTGCATTTTGGTTTTACTCAAAAGCAAAGAAAAAAAAAAAAAAGAGTAAATAAAAAGGCGCAATTTCAAAAGCAAAAATTAGCAATGGCGAAAAATTAAACCTGGAAAATGATTAAAACCATGTCAAAATGACACTAATCAGCTTATTACTACCAGTAATAATAGATGTTTAATTTTTTACTGTTACAAAAAACTTGAAAAAATCACCTTTGAAATACTGCAATACCTAAAAGTTCCTAAGTTGACTGGTAGACCACCGTGCTACGCAGTTAAAATTTTTCAACAAACAAACTGTACTTCTTCTTCATAATTTAATAGCAAACAAGGCTAATATTTGTAAAGTAATGGTTGTTTCGTAGTTTTAAATTTAGTAATAAAAACCGGAGAACGCATTAAAATAGAAGTATTTAACAGTTGAAAAACATTTTTTTTAAGAAAGGAAAAAAATCAACCTTTAACATAATTATACAAATTTTGTTTATACTGTCTTTTTAATGTGAAACAAACTGTTACAAATTATACAGAAAATATATATATCCAGCACAGAAATAACTTAGGTAAAATAATCATTATTAAGCTGTTGAACTTATGAAAAAATTTCAAGTCAGCTAATGCTACCCTTCTGAATGAATCGTATAGAACCATGTTTGTTAAATGTTATTGCTGTTTCAACGCGCTAGCCACTCTTATGGAAATGCGTGCATGAAAATCAATGCACGACGGTGAATGGTAAAAAGTTTGTACTAGAACTTCACAACCATATCACTTCTTAACTGCAGGCGAGATCATTAAACCAGCAAAAAAGAAGCCAAAAAACACATCAAAAATTCCCCGGGCTAGAAGTTCCTAAATTTTGCTTTCTGAAATGTCGACTCGGATTTCTTCAAGTACGGTTGCACTTTTTTGTAATTCCAAGGCTGTGGTGTTGGACTGGGGTCTAAATCGTCACTGTCATCTGCATCTAAAGTTTCCTCATCATATTTTGAGTCTACCTCACCGGCTTTATGAATCACTCCGTGAGACCTCCTGAAAAAATAATAAAAAACCAATTATAACTCTTTTTTTAAATTTACAGATTAAACTTGAAAAGATTTTTGCAGATACTAACTCATCACTCTCCACTCTATCTGCTGCCATCGTATTTTCTTCTGATAAAAGTTGTTCTAGATTTTTTGCCTTTTTTGCTCCACGACCTCGACTTTTAATCTTTCGTTTGCCTAAAATGGCCTCTACATGTCCACCTGACTCTTTCGTTTCGTTATCAGCAGATGGCTTTTCTTGGGATCCACCTTCTTCTGTTTCAGTGTAAAATCTGAAAGAGGAATGAAGGTAACGGAATGCCGGTGACTTGAAAATACGACCTTTCTAAACTGTCTCTAAAAAAACTAAATAATAAGGAAATTCTACTGACCTAGTGTCATGCTCGTAATCCCATTCCAACTCGTTCCCTTTGGCGTCAAATATATTTAAACCCGGACGAATGCGGTCTTTTTTATTTGTCCACTTATAAGTGTATCCATCTAAACAATGAGCAGTATCGAGAAAGAAATTCAAAAAATCAATAGAAACTACCGTTACCTTTATCAGTAGAGTCCTCTGCACTACTTTTCCTTATTCTTGGTAAACCAATTTTCCCCTAAAGAAACGTTTTAATAATTTATCAAGACGTAGAACCGAGGTTCTACAACGTAATACTACTACCTTGCGTAAATCGGATCGAAGACTTAACCGCAAAATAATGAACTGGTTTTGTGCAACATGCTTCGTCAAAACTCTCCATTTACCTGCGATTAAGTT